CTGAGGTTGTTGGATGGAATGTTCTGTAGATATTTGCCAAGTCCAATTGGTCTAGTATGTTGTTTAGATCTTGTGTTTCCCTGCTGATTCTTTGCCTAGATGATCTGTCCAATATTGACAGTGGTGTGTTCAGGTCCCCTGCTGTTTTGGTATTAGTGTCTGTTTCCTTCTTTAGGTGTAATAGAGTTTGTTTTATAAATCTGGCTGCTCCAACATTGGGTGCATATATATTTAGGATTGTTACGTCTTCTTGATGGATCAATCCTTTTATCATTACATAGTGTCCCTCATTGTCTCTTTTTATGGTTTTTAGTTTAAAGTCTATTTTATGAGATGTAAGAATGGCTACTCCAGCTTGTTTTTCTTTTCTGTTTGCATGGTAAATCTTTTTCCATCCTTTCACTCTTAGTCTAGGTGAGTCTTTATGGGTGAGGTGGGTCTCTTGAAGGCAGCATATAGTTGGGTCCTCCTTTTTAATCCAGTCAGCCAGTCTTTGTCTTTTGATTGGGGAATTTAAGCCTTTTACATTAAGAGTTGTTATTGAAAAGTGTTGATTTATTCCTAGCATTTTATTGATTATTGTTTGGTTGTCTTAGGTGTCATTTGTTCCTTGCTCTTAGGTGTCTTTTGTTCCTTACTTTCTGATTTACTGTTTGTTTTCTGTGTTTGTTGGTTTCTTGAGTTGTAGATAACCTTTTTGTTTGTTTGTTTTCTCTTCATGCATGCCATTTTTATTATACTAGTGGGTTTTGATTTTTCTTGGGTTTTTATGGCAGTGGTAGTTATTTTTCAGGAACCAAACCCCGTACTCCCTTGAGAATTTCTTGTAAGGGTGGTCGTGTGGTGGTGAATGCCCACAGTTTTGTTTGTCTGAGAAATATACTATTTGCCCTTCATTTTGGAAGGATAGCCTTGCCAACAGAATACCCAGACCTCTGCTTGAACATGGTGTCTTGAATCCATACAGGCTTTTAGGGTTTGTGATGAAAAGTCTGATGTTAGTCTGATTGGGGCTCCCTTATAGGTGATTTGATGCTTCTCTCTTGCAGCTTTTAAGATTCTCTCTTTGTCTTTGAGTTTTGCCAATTTGACTATAACATGTCTTGGAGAAGACCTTTTTGGGTTGAATACGTTTGGGGATCTTTGAGCTTCCTAAATCTGAAGATCTGTGTCTTTCCCAATAACTGGGAAGTTTTCTGCTACTATTTTGTTGAATATGTTTTCAGTGCAATCTCCTTTTTCTTCCCCTTCTGGAATACCCATGACTTGGATATTTGAGCACTCAATGTTGTCTGATATCTCTCTTAGATTTTCTTCTATGCTTTTATTCTTTTTTCTTTTTCTTTTTCTTTTTTCTTTTTTGTCTGCCTGTGTTATTTCAAACAGCCCATCTTCAAGTTCAGAGGTTCTCTCTTCAACTTCTGCAAGCCTGCTCATTAAACTCTCCATTATGTTTTTTATTTTGCTGGATAAATTCTTCAGTTCGGCAAGCTCTGCTACATTTTTTTTCAGGGCATTGATTTCCTTAGACATTTCTTCTTTCAGGTCCGGTATACTTTTCCTTGTTAGATCATGTTGTCTAGTTGAGTTTTCTTGTATCCTATTCAGTTTCCTTAGAATTATCACTCGAAATTCCTTGTCAGACATTTCAAGGGCTTGTTGTTCTATAGGATCTAGAGCTTGACCGTTATTACCCGTTGGTGGTGTACTTTCTTGATTTTTCGTATTTCTGGTATCTTTTCTTTGATGTTTATTCATTGTGGCAGGAGGTTTCACAGTCCACAGTTTGACACTGTTGTCTGACTAAGATGTTGCTAGGGTTGCCAATTTGGTATGACTACCTCAGTGACTGCTCAGTTGGCCAGTAGTGCCTTGCATGTGTGGGTGCCTCGGGTCTTGGGCCTCTCTGGGGAGCCACCTCTCTGGTCAGCTTGGACTCGGCCAGGCTGCTGGGTCACGTGGTGGTACCACAGGGTGTGTGGTCTCTGCTGAGCTTCCACCTCCCCAGCTGGACGTCTCCCTGTTCCGCGCACATTGGGCTGGGCTGCTGGGATGTGCAGAGGCACCGCAGGAGCTCACTAGAACATTAAATAGCAAAATAATCTCTGACACTGTAAGCAGAAAAATAAACTACAGTGAAAGGAAGCCTCCTACTTGTTAATCAAGTCCAACATGGATTTAAAGTGAGATTTCAAGTTTTTTCTTACCTCCATTTCCTTTCTGTTTAGCTTCTGAGTGGTGTCTTCAGGTAGATATTTCTCAGGATTAAAAAAAATAACTTCAGAGCCTTATAATACTAAGGTCACAAGTTCAGATCCCTGTACTAGCCAGCTACTCAGATCTCCTGAATCAGCAGCTCTAGGGAGTGGAGCCCAGCAACGTGTATTTTACCAGGCTTCCTGAACAGTACTTATATTCCACAAGGTTGGAGACTCCTACTGTAACGGAACATGTAAGACACCAGATTTTTGTCCACAAGGAGCTCAGTCACATCCTTCCTGCACCTATCCACAGGATGGCCGTCCTTCAAAGAAGTGGGGTGGGGTGGGGTGAACGTACAGCAGCTGTTCAAAATACAAATGGTCTCAAGGTACTCCTATATGGAAAATCTAGTATGTGATCACACCAGCAGTTAGTCCAAAGGATTTTCAGCAGAGTCTAGACGAGTTTCCATAAAAGCATCCTAGAAAGCTGTAAGGAAGTGTAGCGGATTGAATTATGTCCCCCCCAAATTCCCTGAAGCTTGAATTGTGTTTCCCAAGTTTTATGTATTGGAAACTAATTCCTAAAAAGGAAACATTATCCCTCTTCCATTTGTTTTCTTTATAAATTGAAATACTCTGGATATGGACAGCCTCAAGTCACTAATAAGCTTGGATTAGCCTTTGAGATGCTTTGTTTTTCTTCTAATAGAGCATAATGATCCCAGATGCCTGAGAAAGAAGGCATCAACTCTAAAAGACTTGTGGGTTTATGAATCCCCCTCTAGGAAATTACCCTCTAGGATTCCCTCTTCCTTCTCTTCTTCTGGAACACCATGGCATCTCAAGTGATATGGATACTTTAGAAATGAAAAAAAACTTTTTTTTTTTTTTTTTTTTTACCATTTGTCCTATGAGAGCAGTTCTGAAGACTTTTAAACAATTCAAGGATGCTAGGAGTTTCTACCACTAATTTAGTTTTCTCTCTTGGTGACACAACTGTTTTGCCAATAAAACATGAACAGATGTGTTCTTTTTGCTTTTATGGTGGTGGTGGTGGTGGTAGGTGCATAGGTAATAGTGAGTACTCCCAAAGTCCTCCAAATGCCCTTGCATAAGGTAAATATCTAAATGTTCTCATTTAAAAGTGAGCCAGCCTACAGTGAATACCTTTCAGAAGTCACTCTCCAGGACCATTTTTACTTGATGAATTTTCTACACCTTAGATTATTTCTTTGTATATTTTCTGTTAAATAAATTTTTATAACTTTATTGAATATGTCCTTCTTTTAAGACACCAGAATATTTAAATCTCAGCAGAGTTTCAAAATCATATAAGACATAAAGATCTTTTATTTTTTATGACAAAAGAATTAAAATGATCTATTCATCAGTTTTCATGTTGTTACTCGCTTCCTCATAGTTCATGACTACATCCTCATCTGAGCCTGTGGAAGTCATATCCACCATAGTTTTAGATTTTGATGTTCTGATGCCTGATTTTCTCATATCTGAAGAACTGGTGCCCCAAAATGTGCTGCTTTCTGCACTCTTGGAAAAAGAAGTATCTGATACACCTTCTGATGGATGAAAATAAGAAAGAGTTGCCAGTTCTGGGTTGACAGAGTAGTCACTGTCACAACGTTTATTACTGAAAAGAAAAGAAAATATATCAAGAAATTGTTTTCAGTTGTGAACATTAGTAACTCAACCTAGAAAAGCATTCACAAAAATTAAAACATATGAATTCTGTCCAACATATTAGTTACTTAGTAATGTTATATAAGTGATATATCATTTTTATTCATTGTCATTATTTTTAATGATTGTGTAAGTGAAGCATATTTCAAACCTCAAGACTAGAATTTAGAAATCAATTTACTAAAACAGTAAAAGTTGCCTGATTAAAGTTTAATAAGAAAATTGTACAGTGAAATTGAATAGGGGAAAGAAATACCTAGGGTCACAGTTTTAATGGACCAGAGAAATACACCATGCATCAAAAACACCACCATTGAAAGAACAGAAATAATGATAATTGTGAACATTAAACACTTGTTAGGATTTTTGAAGTAATTTGTTACATGGTGTGGAAAATTTTAAACAATTAATCAGGCTTGAGTTGAATTTAATATTTTTATAAGAATAAATGGACAGGCCCTAAGGTTTAAATGTGGCAGAGAGGTTTGCTGGTGTTTTTTGAAGGTCTCAAGGCTTGCTTGAGTGCAAAATGTTAGATCCGAAGCAGATATGCTACTTAGAACAGAATATATAGCCCTTTTGTTCCAAGGCTGTCCAAAGAATCAATGTTATCTAGATTCTCTATATCCTTTCCAGTTGATTACGGTTATATCTATCTCTAGATGACTATTTAAAATATTGGGGAAAGTTCAAGTAGGATATTCTCTGAGAGACAGTCCCATGATCCTTCTGAATAGGAGAAATGGAGTCAAACTGGAAACCTTATAAGTTTGGGGGCCACATTTTCCTAATGGTGTACTAAAGAGAGGAGGCGCAGAGCCTGACAGCATGCATCAGTTATAAAGACCGCAGAGGTCTGCACACTTACTTCAGCTGCTTCAGTTTGCACAGTGTGACACAACAGAATACCAGGAGGGTGACAAAGAGGATGAAGGTCATCAAGGCGATGCCCAGCATTAGTTTGTACTTGAGGTCCTCTAGCTCTGACAGGTCTTTGTTTGCTGGGTTCACATCAGAGCCTGAGAGGAAAGAAAGAAAATGCAATGGAAAGTAGGAACTGTGTTTGGTACGTTTTCCTGGAGGAGTAAGAATTGCAAAGCAGCTTCAGAGAAGCCCTCAGCCATCTGGAGTATTCACTGCTCCCCACCCCTACACCCAGCAATGCAAGTCCTCTGAACTTTCCCCTTTAACCTTCACAGCAATCCTGGAGCAGCTGTCTTTAGCTCTATTTCACAGGATCACAGAAGTTTATGAATTCGCCCATGGCACATAGCTAGTAAGTGTAAAATCTGGTTTCAGCCCAGGCTGCCAGATGCCAAAATGTAGCAGACTTCCTCCCTGACTTTACAAGAAACCAGTTTAATCTGTCATCTCTGAGGAGATTACTAATAGAAACAATTAATTTACACACAAGGGAGGAGTCTTTCAGGAGGGAAAGGTGCGTGTTCTACTGTTGGGGCACACACTAATTTTTCTTTTATGCTAAAAGGATGATATATTAGATACTCTCTCCATGAGGCTTGTGAACTGAGTTTGCCATTTTATTACCCAGAAGATTAAACCTAGTGTACTTGATATTACAAAAAGAAATGAAAACACCTTATTTAACTTTCTAAAGTAAGTCAAGTAATAAAATCATGTCCGGATCCAGAGATAGCAAGAGTCTTTTTACTAAATCTATTAATGAGAATATATCTTTACTGCCAAATATTACATTTTCCTGGATATACATCTTTCTTAAACATTTACTTAATGATGACTTCAGATGACCATTTTGTTATTTCTCTCC